AAAAAGAATGAAACAAAGAGCAAAAAGGAAAAAAGAAAAAAGCAAAGGAAAAAAAAAACCACCCCAAAAATGAATCCCAAAGATCCTCTGCGTGGAGGACTGCTGTATTTGCAGGGCCTGCGGTCTCAGAACCCGCAGGTATGGAGAGGGACAGCGAGTCCCTCTAGTTTCCACACGCGCGCTGCTGTTGGAGGCTGAGTCCTGCCTCAGCGTTCTTGTTGGCAGGAGCAGCCAGTGTGTGGTTTCTGCCTGAGGCCTGCGCAGCAGCCCTGGGCAGCCCAGGTTGTTTCTGTTGCGGCCTCACCTTGCGGCCTGTGGGCTCATGAGGCACCCGCTGGCTCCAGAGGTGCCCGTGCCCACGCCCCGCGGGAGGTGTTCAGAGTCCGAGCCGAGGGGTTCTCCTGACCGCGCTGGCAGTGGAGAAAGCGGGCAGCTCACCGTGATACCGTGTTGGGTGGAACGGGTGTCAAGGGGCCCGCTGGACTTAGCGCCTCAGCACTTTCAGACCCAGCCCTGTGACCGGCCTGACCTCTGCGGAGCGCGGAACCACTGTATCTTTCCTGGCCTGGCGGGGCGGGGCCGGCGTGAGCAGCCCTCTGCCTCTGTGTGGGGCTGTGTCTGTCGTCTCCCACCCATCACGGTGGTCGGTGACCCCGACAGCCCTGAAGTGTGGCTCTGATTCCCGGAGCAGTCAGCCCCTCGCCCAGACGGCCCCTGCTGCAGCAGCCCCCTGCGTGGCGCGCTGCCGTGGGTCTCTGCTGCAGCCCCGCCTGCCGCGGGAGGGAGTCGCTTTCACAGTAAAGCCCCGCACGGTGCTCCAGCGGAGCGGCACTGGGCTTTTCTTGGGGCCGCACTGCTGGCGTGGTGTTCTCCCGGGCCCGCCGCCCGGGCCGCCCGGGCCGCCCGGGCCGCCCTTGCACACGGGGGTGGAGACCCGGCTCCTCCCCGAGCCGCGAGCCGCGCAGACTGCTTAGCCCTCTGCTTCCTGCTGTCTTCAGTTTCCGCAGCTCTCTGTGGTTCCAGCTTTCCTGTTGGCTCTTTCTTGATTCTTGGAGCTCTTTCTTCTTCCTTTTCCTTTGCTCAGGTGTTGTTTTCCCGGTGTCTGGATTCCGGGTTCTGAGGAGGCTGTACTCCGCCGCCAACCGTCACTCTGCCATTTTGCCCTGTGTGTTTGCACTTTGTGCGTATTTGAGTCTTTCCTTCAGATAAACTGTTGGAAGCAGAGCTACGGGATTAAGACATACGCACATCCACAGTGACATAATACAGGGCTGGGGATGTAGCTCAGTGGTAGAGCGCTAGCCTAGCACGCGAAGCCTTGTATGTGATTCGCAGCACTATGCACACATAGGAGACAGTTTTAAAAATTACTTGAGAATTGTTACGCATTCCGGAAATGCCCACTTGAGGACACTAGTTTATTGCCCATTTGCTTAAACAGAGATGTACTGTCCACTGTCTTTTTTTTGTTTGTTTTCTGCAGTATCAGGATAGAACCTGGGGTGCTTTACCGCTGAGTCACATCCCCAACTCCAACACACCCGTTTTTAATGTATGTGTTATTCTGAGGTAGGGTCTTCTGTGTAGCCCAGGATGGCCTGAGCTTGCAGTCTTCTGCCTCAGCCTCTTAAGTAGACACTTTCCATTTTCTAAATAATTTTTATTTTTAAAGGATGACATTGAGGATTCGGTTGTATTTACTTTTTGTTTCCAGGCATACTGTGTTCATCACTGAAAAACATTGGATAAAAAACAATCCTCGAAGCTGGGCATGGAGGTACACGCCCATAATCCCAGTACTCAGGAGGCTGAGGCAAGAGGACCACTGCAAATTCGAAGCCAGTGAGGTCAACCTGAGCTGTGTCATGTGCCACAGCAATTATAGACATCCTTTTGACAAAGACTACAGTGTTGCATACCTTTGTAGGTGGAAATGTCTAATGAAAGAATTGATCTTTTAGAGGAAAAAAGGCTAGTTTTTTACAGCTAAGGAATACGCATGTCAGCTTCCCCACTCATCCTCATGCTTGTCATCAGCCTGTGAGTCGCTGCCGTTCTGATTAACAACGCTAATCCTGTGCATTTATAGTCTTTTTTTAAAATATATTTAAGCCTTTAATGTATTTTGCGCAGGACATAATTTCAGAGCTATTTTCTGTCTGTGATTCTCTAAATAACCAATTCCAAAACTGCCAGAGAAGTATATTTGGGGAAAGGCATTTTACTCTCCCACAAAGCTTGTTACATGGACAAGAGAATTGATGTCACTGAATTGTGAGACGGCTGCCGAGGCGAAGGACGGCTGTGTGTATAGTGCTGCAGACAGCTTAGATGCCGCCTGTGCTGTGCGGGCTTGCTCTGTCCCCGATGGCTGTTTTCCATTATCAGTCAGTTATATATGGATATTTCTGTTCAGATCTGCCCTGAATACTGTTAATTGCTTTGAATTGAAAGATAGCCTACTTATTGACCCATATTATTTGTAGCAATCTTTAAAAATAGAAAGGGAGATAGTAAATAGCAGTCAGATCCCTTGCACTGAACTCCATAAAGCATTTTCATTATAATAAATTAATTGCTTGAAATTGCATTCCCAGAAACAGGTGGCATAGGGACAGATCCAAGAACAAGCTTGTTTTGGGAGTTTAGGAACACTTAAAGCAAGTTTAACACCTTCTCTACTCAGCGTACTGCTCATTCTGCTTTGATTTTTCTGGAAGAAGACATGAGAAATTTAGGATGGAAAGGTGGGGCAAACTTGAGTCATTGGGAATTGCTTTCTTTTTAGCTTTTTGAGACAGGGTCTCACGGTGTAGCCCAGGCTGGCCTTGATCTCATAGTGAGTGCTGGGGTAACAGAGATGCACCACCGCACCCAGCTAAGGGACTTGCTTTCTTTTGACTGGCATCATGTTCTCTGTCCTTGCCTAAGACATCCTCCTAGCAGTCTCTTCTCTACAAGATTTTTTTTTTTTTTTTACTTAAGAGTACATCAAAAAAAGAACAAAAGCCGGGCGTGGTGGCGCTCGCTTGTAATCCCAGCACTCGGGAGGCTGAGGCAGGAGGATTTTTGCGAGTTCAAGAACAGCCTGGGCTACAAAATGAGCTCAAGGCCAGCCTGAACTGCATAGTGAGAGCCTGTCTCAAAAAGACCAAAAAAAAAAAAAAAAAAATTGTGGCTGGACGTGGTGGTACACACCTGTGATCCCAGCACTTGGGAGGCCGGAGACTGGAAGATCACTGCAAGTTTAAGACCAACCTGGGCTACATAGTGAGTTCAAGGCTAGCTTGGACTACAAAAACAATTAAACAGATAAACAGGGCTGGGAATAAATAAACAGGCACAGCAACGGCCGGGCAAGCAAGAGGCCCTGAGTTTGATTCCTGGTACCAAAAAAAAAATCCCAAATAAACAAAGAACCAAAGCCATGGTGGGCCCATGGTGAAATCCTTTGTTCTGTGGCTCTGCTTTTTTTGGGGGTGGGGAAGGCAGGGTTTTGCTGTGCAGTTCAGGCTGGCCTTGAAGTCGCAGCAGTCCTGCCTCAGCCTCCCCAGTGCTGGGTTTGCAGGTTTGTGCCACAACGCCCGGCAGCTCTGCTATTTAAACCCTTAGCCTGCGTCCTTGAGGCCACTTTGTGGTCCTCGCTGGCTGCTGGGACTTCAGTTACCGTGCCTGAGGCTAAAAGGAGTAGTAGTGGTGGGAAGGCCTCCCGAGCTGTTTTCTCTATGAACAGCCTTCTGCGTTGGTCAGCTGCTCCTCATGGTGAACAAACACCCTGGAAAAACAGTTTAAAGGAGAAAAGTTGGTGCTCACGGTTGCCGCCCATGCTGACTGGCCACAGTGCTTTTCTGCCTGTGGTGAGGCAGAAAGGTGCGCGGAGAAAAGCTGCTCCGCCCTCCACAGCAGCCAGGAAGCAGAGGGTGAGAAAGGGCCCCTACAGTCTCAAGGCCCCCCCAACGACTCCCACGCCCTTGCCCCTCAGGATCGCACCCCACTCCGCCCTCAGGGGTGATGTTAAAGCCCTTAGGGTCCAGTTATTTCCTCGGCCCCACCTCTGAGCGCTGTGGCAGAGGGGACCAAGGCCTGGTTGCATGAGTCTTTGGGGGACACTCCGTGTTAAAATCATACCAGCTGCCCATGAGTCCTTTTCACTCCGCTTGCACCTCACTGTGCGGGGCTCAGCTGCCCGGCCACACCGGCCGCGAAGGGAGGCTGGGGAGCAGACCGGATTCTGGCTGAGTTCGTGGCCACATTAATGCGTTCGCCTTTCTGGAAGTTACAGTGAGGAACGGAGGAGTGAATGTTGAGTGGTAGACTTGGATCTCTGTCGCAGCCTGTTTTTAATGGGAATAAGCAAGCAAATACTACTGCGGTAGAGGGTTAAAAATTTGGAGATGTTTTTGTCTTAGAGTGACCTTTTCATTATAAAAGCACTGTTGTAAAGGAGTTTGAAATAGTGATTCCATTTACTTGCCAAATATTTTTAGTATAGCTAATCTTTTAACCATGCCTGTTTTGTTGTTGTGTGTTTGTTTTCTTTTGTTTTGTTGTTTTGAGACAGTCTCGCTTTGTAGTTCAGGCTGGGCTTAAACTCACTGTGTAGCTCAGACTGGCCTCAAACTCACATCCGTCCTCCTGCCTCAGCGCACGTGTGCACACCCTGTGCGGAGATTTCAGGTGTCCCCCATCATGCCTGGCTAACAACCTGTGCTTTTTTTTTTTTTTTGAGACAAGATCTCACTGTGTAGTTTGGGCTGGCCTTGAGCTCACTATGTAGCCCAGACTGGCCTCGAACTCAAAGCAATCCTCCTGTCTCTGCCTCCTGAGTGCTGGGATTACAGGCATGCACCACCACGCCCGGCTAACCACCCGTTCTTGAGGTCTGCTTGAAATTCTTATTTCTGACTCATTCCTCATTTAAATTTCTATAGGAATGGATGTTAGGAAGCTCTTAACTTTCTAAGCACTGGAAGCACTAATTCATAGCTTTTTTTTTATAGATCTATGGCAGTGTGTGGGAGAAACTACGTCGGGCCTTTGCCATTTGGAGTGGCTTCGGAATGACCCTGACTGGCGTTCACACCTGCGGAGATTACATGTTCAGTGGCCACACGGTCGTCCTAACTATGCTGAATTTCTTCGTCACTGAATGTGAGTATCTCTTTGGTGCGGCTGTGCATGTTCTGTAGCTCCTACAGAAGAGGCCGTGGGGAGGATGTGAAGTCTGTGACTAATGCGCGAAGAATCTTGACCCCAGACACATGTGACTGAGAGGCCTTGGAAGGAATGTGGTTTTAAAATGACCTTTCTGTCCTTTTCCTAGATACACCAAGGAGCTGGAATTTCTTGCACACCTTGTCTTGGGTTCTCAACCTCTTTGGGATCTTCTTCATCCTGGCTGCCCATGAACATTACTCCATCGACGTCTTCATTGCCTTCTACATCACAACGCGGCTCTTCCTGTACTACCACACTCTGGCCAACACCAGGGCCTATCACCAGAGCCGGAGAGCGCGGATTTGGTTTCCCATGTTTTCTTTCTTCGAGTGCAATGTTAACGGCACAGTACCTAATGAATATTGTTGGCCGTTTGCAAAACCAGCAGTAATGAAAAGACTGATTGGATGATGTTATCTTTGTAATGAGTCTGTGACTAAGTATACAGTAGTTGTTGAATAACTTTGCTTTCTCTTGTTAGGTTGTTCCTGGATGTGTTGCATTTTGACTTACACATTGACAGAGTTCCCGTTCTGAGCAAGGGTACGGCTGTAAAAAGCAAGAAAGAACAATGAAGAATCCTTACCTAGCTGTTTGAACAGAAAGCTTAAGTATAGGTTTTCTGCACCCCCATTTTAAGAAGATTCAAATATTTGATTGAAGTCAGGCTGTGGCCTCTTACCGTTAAGTATTTATTTATTGAACCTAAGCAAATCGGCATAAGCAGTTTGCTGGTTGAAGGAATTTTATGAATTTCTAGCAGTGCTCTAGTTAAGAAATGATATTTTTTGAAGCTCCTTATCTTTAAAAGATAAAACTGTACTGAGTGAGCAATACTTGTTCTTTGGACTAATCTCTGTGTGTGTCTGGAAAGTGATTTGTTTTATTGACGAATATGTTTTGCTTTCTGAATTATCTTTAAGAAAGGACGCTGAGCGTATACCATGCCTGAGATGGGAACGAAGCCGGCCGTCCCAGAGGTGACCGTGCTGAGGAGGGGTCCCAGGCCTTCTCATGGGTGTGAGTGCAGGGCTGGCATTTCTCACCAAAGATGTAACAAAAATGCAGCTCGGATCTTGCTGTGAGGGTTCGAAACGAAGGTCGGCAAGTGCTCTTGAGGGAACTCTGGCAGCATTTATAAAAATACTGAATAATTGTAGTGGTATAGGTACCTGGAGTAACTCTGCGCTGTCATTGTTAGACGGATGACAGCCCAGTTTAATACTTCAAGCGATATTCTTCAGTGCGCCAAATAGGAGTGTCTTGGAGCTGGGGATTTAGCTCAGCGGCGCAGCGCCTGCCTGCAAGCGTGAGGTTGTGAGTTTGATTCCCGGTACCAGAAAAAAACAAACAAACAAACAAAAAAAAACAAAGAGGAGTGTCTTACCAGATGTTAAGTTCTCATGGCAGTAAGTAGGGAAGTACGCATGCAGAGAAAAGAAATGAATAACAAGTTGTGGGAATAGTGTTAACGTTTAAATTTTTGCAATTTCTTTCTTGGTCATCGGTGAGCAGTATGAGACATGTTAGGATACACAAAAAAGCTGTGCTGCTTTTTACTTGTAAAAACAAGTGTGTACATACATTCTTTCTGTGTAGTCTTCATTTGCCGGTCAGGAGATGATACAGCTTAGCTGCCGCTCACAACACTAGGAATTTAATATCTTAAGTAACTTCATCTCTGTGAGAACATTTGTCACTTTATTTTTAAAGATTTTTTTACATAGCAGTATGACATAGCAGGTTGTGCCATTGGAAACTGACCCCAACTGATGAACTTAGCTGTTTAGAATATCCACTGTGTAGTTGTTGCATTCCATTTCTAACCAGGAGTGAGTTAGTGGAGGTGCTGGCGTTCTGAGGCCTAAAATTAGGTCACAGGAGAAGCCTGCTTCTTCCTTGCCTAGGGGAAGTATTTTTTGCACTTCAAGTCATCTTCTACTCCTGTATAAGCTACAGAGGAGCCTGAATGAGTTGGATAGGAGAGGAACAGTATGGGAAGATGCTTCAGCCAGTGCTGAGTGACCCAAATTGGGAGTCTGCTCTGGACATAATTTATTTCTTACTTGAGAAATGATGCCAGGCAATTCAGATGTTATTGTGCTTTTAAATCTTATATTCAGAATCTTATAGTATCTTAAATTGTTGGTTCTGTTACGTGCTAGAGGCAGAAATACCAGCATGTTATCAAAAGAAATTGCATAATCACAAGGGACGAAGGTTGTTTCCTATGCTCCCTGGATTGGTTTGACCTTTGAGGTCAAAAGACTTTACTGACTTGTGTTTTCTCTCAAATGACAGAACAGGGTTAGAATTAAGCCCACGAGAGACTGATTTTGGCTTTTGGTACCATGTTCCAAAAAAGTCTGTGGCAAGATTAATTTTAAAATGTTAAATAACCATTAGTAGTAAATATCTTCTTTCCTTCAATGGATTGCATCGTAGGAAAAGCTAGAAAAATATAATGGCAACTAAATTTGCAGAGCTTTTGACAAGGAGAGTGCCTAAACAGACTGCAGTGAGAATCGTAAAATCACTTTTCAAGTTTGCATTTGCTCCTTTCTTTTGAGAAAAAAGTAAGCTAGATTTATAATTTATTGTTGTCACTATTGCAAGGCACTGTTTACATAAATTAATCATCTCCAGACCTTTTTTGGAAATCTCTGAGACAGAATTATTTCAGTCATTTACAGACACAGAATCCATATTTTAGTCATTTTTGTTTTGTCCAGGAATTTCCCGAATTTTTGTCTTTGTGCTTTTTTTCCTTATTAAAAGCCTAACTGGGGCCGGGGATATAGCTCAGTGGCATAAGCTCCTGCTTGGCAAGTGCAAGGTCCTGAGTTCAATTCCCTGTACCAAAAAAAAATATAAAAGCCTAACTGTAGTGAAGATAGACTTTATGTTTACATTTGGGTGTGAATGTTACGGGGTAGAGAAGCTGCAGGCCTTGTGGCTACCTTTTTTTAAAAACCACATTAGTTAGGTTCTGGTGTCGCAGATTTGTGGGAGGCCTGCTTTCTGGAGAGCTTACTGCAGAGGGAGCCACGAGGGTTGGGTTTGGAGCGCAAACTGGAGTTCGTGTTGGAAGTCCAGGTGGCATTGTCTCTGATCCCTGGAGCAGTGTTGCCCCCCTTTTTTTTAAAGGACCAGGCGGGATGGCGTTTCTGAGAAGCAGCTGAAGCGGGTAGGTAGTAAGGTTTTGAAGATGGCAGGTTGGATGTTACCATCGCATGATCTGGGGCAGCTTCTTTTGGCTGTGCTGAATTCTCAACATGGTATCCTCTCCATAGTTCTCTGGGCCAGAATAGCTGGAGCGAACACTCAGCCTCCCTCTGCTGCTCTGTGTATTAATATCCTCCTCAGATAGCAGTGAGCCTGACCTTAGTCCCCCTCAGTTGGCAAAGTGTGGGCCGCTGACAGCGTCAGACTCGACAGAGCGGTGATCGGTCCTGCTGCCCTTGCCTGCGGGTTAGGACTGAGAATCCCAGCACCTCTGTAATGTGGACATGGGGAACAGAGAAACCACGTCCTTCCGTAGCCGGGGGCAAGCAGTCAGTTGGAGGACTGTCGACACAGAAAGCATCAGTCATGTACTTCCAGAGTTGTACTCCTACCGCTAATCTCCTTTGACTGTACTCAGCAAAAGGCGGTTTCAAGGCTTCTGGATCCAAAACGCTTAAGGATGTTAGACATAGTCTTGTTGAAACTCTGATTAATGAATTTGCCTTTTTGGAGGCTGCCATTATCCCATGCTAAGAGTCATTACAGTCGAGCCATTTGTCAGTTCTTCAGGTGTTCACCCATTGGAGAGAAAGGAGCTCTCTTTTAGAATAGCCCATTTGCTTTTTAAAACAATACTGGTTTCATTTAGGCAATTTCAAAGCCAACAAAGCGTGTCAGTTTTAATGGCAGCTTTAGCTGACCGATTAGGCAGTTGGTATCTGTAAAGTTTATCCTGAGCAGGGCATGGCGGCGCACGCCTGGGATCCCGGCACTGGGACCCAGGCAGGAGCAGGGTGAGCTCAAGGCCGGCCTGGGCGCATGGGGAAACCCTGCCTCGGAGAAGCAGTGCAGCCTGAGCTACCCTTGCGCCGCTGTGGTGCAGAATTGTCAGGTAGCAAAGGTCGGAACACTTGAGGTGACCTGTGAGAGCAGGAGAGGTCCAGTCGGTGTGGGTTTGTTTCCTCCGTCTTGACTTCCCTCTGAGTTCTTCCCCTCTGACCTCACAGCAAGCGAGCAACACTTACTTCAGAGACTCACAAGTCACTAATTCCTGTGTGTCAAGTTCAGCGCACAGAGCTGCAGTCTGTAAGCCATGATCTCACCGCCCAGTAAGCTGCTTTCTAAAATACATGCTGCTGCGGACCAGCTGCGGGACTCTCGGCCGTGGGGCGAAGCCGCAGAAGGCGCGCTGTGACCTCGCTGCGCTTTATGCGCGCTGCAGTCCGGGGAACAAGCTCGGACGCAGCCAAGAGACCCTACCAGCCAGCAGCGCAGTCTCAGAGTGTTCCGCGTACAGATGTTTCCATGCGGAGAGCCACGACTTGTTAGAGCAGCGAAGTGTTTCTAACGGAGCGGAAGCGGGGAAGCGCGCGGAGCTTGGACTGCCGCGGCTGTGTCTGGGTCTGAGGGTTCTGCCAGAAGGCTCCTGTCCGCAGAGAAACTAGTATTACTTCGGATGGGAGAGTGGTAGCATACCTTGCAGTACCGCATTGTACATAAGTAAATATCTTGGTTCTAAATTAAATTCAGATTTAACTAATATATATTATTTTATATCTTTGTTGTATTAAAATGTTTAAAAACACTAAAAATAAAACATTCAAAAGTTGGATTGCAGTTTCTTATTTAAAATGTTCGCTTTTCTTTTTTGAGACAGTTTGCTGCATAGTCCAGGCTGGCCTTAAACTGCTAAATTGTCCAGGGGATGTGCCTGCCTCAGCCTCCCAAGTGCTGGGATGATAGGGGTGCACCACTGTGCGCGGACCTTTGTGATATTAACATATCACTTGATATTCCCAGTGGTCTGTCAGAGAGGGAGAACCGTTTAGAGCTTTCAGCGACACAAGCAGCCTGCTGCGGCACGCGTGCCCCAGCTCACCGAACCCTACACGGTCCACAGATGCTAAGCCAGCGTGATGTCTCTCGCAGGCAGAAGCGCCGGGTCTCACCGTGAAGAGGCCACCTGTGCTGGGCGGGTTTTCCACAGACTCGGCAGCAGCCTTCAGTGAGAAGAGGCCTGACCGAGTACATGAAGTTAGAACGCCTTCTTCCACGAAGGCCGATGGAGGAGGCCACTGGCAGAAGGATGCAGTGTGAGGGACTTCAGCACAGTGGAAACTGCTCAGGAATGTGATTGACAGGCACAACTGTCGAGGCAAGGTCCCAGCGTTCTTTACTGATTCCACAGTGACACTCGTGCTTTTTTTTTTTTTTTTTTTTGGTCTTTTTCAGATAAGGTCTCGATATGCAGTTCAGGCTGGCCTTGAGCTCACTTTGTAGCCCAGGCTGGCCTCGAACTTGCAACCATCCTCCTGCCTCAGCCTCCCAGTGCTGGGATTACAGGCCTGCGCCACCATGCCTGGCTATTTTTCTTTTTTTGTTTTGGTGCCAGGAATTGAACTCAACCTTGCACTTGGGCAGGCAGGTGCTGTGCCGCTGAGCTATATCCCCAGCCCTCATGCTGCTTAGCTGCCGTTTATTTTAGTTTCTTGAGACAAGGTCTTGCTTTGTAGTTCAGGCTGGCCTTGAACTCTTAAATTGATACCCCTCCCTCAGCTTCCTCAGTGCTGAGATTACATGCATGTGGAGTACACGGCTATAATCCCAGCACTCAAGAGGCTGAGGCAAGAGGCTCTCCAGCAGTTTGAGGCCAACCTGAATAGATAGCAAGACCAAAAAAAAAGTTACTTTAAATTTTAAATAATTTATGAACATGATAGCTATATACTGAAAAATCTTTCCCTCAATTCCTTGCCTCAGCCTTTAGTTTTCCTATCAGGAGTCAACCTTTATTTTATTTATTTATTTAGGTTTTGATTCTGTGTGTTTGTTTTTGCAGTACTAGGAAATGAACAGCTGAGGACCTTTGCACTAAAGTACGTGCCCAGCAGCGCCCCTCTTTTTATTTTTTTAAATTTTTTATTTATTGTCTCTTTTTTTTTGTTTTGTTTTGTTTTCTGGTACCAGGAATTGAACTCTTGACCTTGTGCTTGGCAGGCAGGCGTTGTGCCGGCTGAGCTAAATCCCAGCCCCTATTCATTGTCTTTTTGAGACAGGGTTTCTTTTCGTTTTGTTTTGTTTTTTTGGGGTACTAGGAATCGAACTCATGACCTCCTGCTTGCCAGGTAGGCGCTGTGCCACTGAGCTAAATCCCCAGCCCCGACAGGGTTTCACTATGCCGTTCAGGCTGGTCTTGAACTCACTTTGTAGCTCAGGCTGGTCTCGAACTCACAATGATCCTCCTGCCTCAGCCTCCCAAGTGCTGGGATTACAGGATTACAGGCGTGTGCCACCACGCCCGGCAATGCCCCTCTTTTTAGACAGGGATTCACTACGTTGCTCAGGCAGGGATCCACAAGAGGCAGCTATTTCTAACTAGTTTCCTGGTGTTTTCCAGTGCAGTTCTATGCATACATAAGCACATCCTTTCATTTTTACATGATTTTACACTAGTTATAAACGTAATTTGCACCTTGCTTATTCCTCGCCTCCCAGCCAAGACCGGGCCCCGTGGCCTGCCAGGGATCTCAGCAGACAGGACGGGCCCTGGGCGGGCTGCTTTTAGGGGAAGACTTTCAGGTCAAGGATTTGCTGTGGATTAGGTGCTCTCCAGATGTGGCGGCATTTCTTGACCAAGGCGAGAGGAGCGAGTCGGGACTAAAGCTGTGATGTAGAGAGCAGGGCCGCATATCAGTGCCGAGGGACGTGTGCGTGCTCTGTGATCCCAATGACACTCGTGACTGAGTACCTAGCGGCCTGGGTTCTTTCTTCATCCCGGTGACACCTCCTGTGTAATGTCCGAGTCCTGAGAGAACTTACGTTCCGCGGGAAACTGAAAGGCCCTGCTGTGGGTGCCAGGCCTGCGTCCATCGTCACCCGGCTGCAGTTGACACCAGCACCAGGCTGGCTCCTGGCGTCAGGGGCCACTGTCCTTCCCGCATGCGATACATCTGCGCCTTTGCCTGCAAGCATGGAAAGATGACAGGGCTTCGTCTTTGTTAAAGCAGCGTGACACTGCATTGTGCAGAGACGTGGGTGTCTAGATTGTTTGCTAGTCAGATGATCCCACTGCAGCTGTCAGGTTCCCATGCACAATTGCTGAAAGTGAAGTCAGTGGCCTTGTGAATTTAAAGTTTTGTTAGACATTGTCAGGTTGAATTTAAAAAGGGGTTGTACCAATTAGCAATAAATGAGATTCCCTATTAACATCATTGCCAATACAACGTATTACTGAACTTTCTTATTTTTGCCAATCTGATAGACTAAAAATGGCATCTTTTTTTTTTTTTTTTTTGGTCTTTCTGAGACAGGGTCTCGCTATGCAGTTCAGGCTGGCCTTGAGCTCACTTTGTAGCCCAGGCTGGCCTTGAACAAACTTGCAGCGATCCTCCTGCCTCAGCCTCCTGAGTGCTGACATTACAGGCATGTGCCCAGCTGTGTGCCACCGCACCTGGCGGGAAGTTTCAAACTTACTTTTTTGCCTCTGAAATTTTAGTCTATGAAATGAACAAATGTACTAATGTCTGGAAGCACAGAAGTGGAGCACACAGTAGGAGTCTCAGGGAGAGCTGGTGGCTGAGCTGTAGACAGCTGCCTGAGGACGGGGTTGGCCTTCCGGCCGTGGTGTATGTGTGTGTGTGTGTTGCACAGTGCGCGGGGCTGTCCTGCTGTGCAGGATGAAGCCGGTGTGTGCACTGATGCCTCCATGGTGAACAAAACAAGTTCCTGTGCTCAGGAGTCTCACTTTCAAGACAATAAAATCTACAAGATAGAAACAAGCTGCCAGGGGGCTGGGGATTTAGCTCAGCGGCACAGTGCCTGCCTGGCAAGCACAAGGTCGTGAGTTCAATTCCTGGTACCGGGGAAAAAAAAAGAAACAAGCTGCCGGGGCCGGTCCCTGGATCACACATTAGCAGGTTTAGGGACTGGGCCTCATCTTGACCCTAATCGTCCAACAGCCAGAAAGACTCAGCAGCGGCCGCGATAACCACGCGCCTCTCTCTCCTGCATCACCTCAGTGACTCACAGCTGCTCTGCTCCTGGGTGAAAGCTAAGACACTTCGCCCACCCAGCTGTGGGGAACCCTCAGTGACTCACAGCTGCTCTGCTCCTGGGTGAAAGCTAAGACACTTCGCCCACCCAGCTGTGGGGAACCCTCAGTGACTCATAGCTGCTCTGCTCCTGGGTGAAAGCTAAGACACTTCACCGCCCACCCAGCTGTGGGGAACCCTCTTTAAAATCACTGCAGGTGGCCCATACTCTGTTCTTGCCTCTGGGCACCTCCTGCTCAGGCACCTTCTCCTCACCCCCGGCACAGTGTTTGCTCTCTTGCTACAGGAAGTTTATAAAATAAAAACAAGGTTGTTTGACTAAGATGTGGCTGGCGGATCCTGCCTGGTGGAGCAGGTTGACTTTGTTGGTAGCCAGAAGTGCCGTCTTAGTCACTGTCCTCCTCCCTGGGACGAAAAGCCCCGCAGCTGCAGTTTCACGGGGCAAAGGTTTCTCTTCGGTTCTTGCTGGGCAGGCTGCACACAGAGACTGCACGGCCAGGGCCTGGGCGGACCAAAGCTGCTCCCCACAGGGCGGCCCGGAAGCAGAGGAGGAGGGAGAGCCGCGGTCAGGTTCGCCCCTCCGCCCTGCCCTGCCTCTTCTGAGCCCACAATAATGCCAAGGAGCGCGGCTAACTATGGCGCCGCCTCGGAGCACCTGAAGCTTTGGGGGACAGCTAGATACAAACTAGAACAAGTACTGAGACCAGAAAAATTGCATCTGGAGAAAAAAGGCAGGGCAGAGGGACAGGCCACCTGCTAGCTGCTGGAGCAGCAACTGAAGCAGAGGCCTGAAGCGAGGAGGGAGGTGGGTGGGTGTAGGTCGGAGCGAGAGAGTGTCCGGGCCTCCAGAGTCGAGAGCTGGCCAAAGCCTGGGGGAAAACTTAAATGACAGTGTGCTTGAGTTATTTGCAGACAGTGCCTCCAGGATCCAGTCAAGCACAGTGGTCTTTTAAGAACAGACAAATGTAACTGGCAGGGTAGCAAACAGCAGTACTCTCAGCGCTCAGGAGGCTGAGGCAGGAGGACCAGCATGAGTTGGAGGCCAGCCTGTGCTACATGGTGAGTTTGAGCTGGCCTGAATTACATAGCGAGTTCTTGTCTCAAAACAAACAGCAACAACAAAAACTGGTGCTGTGGAACTGGTTCCTGTGAACATTAGGCAGTGAGTCCTCAGGAGGCTGAGGCAGGAGGATCTTAAGTTTGAGGCCAGCCTGGGCTACCTAGTGAGGCCCTTTCTCAAAAACAAAAAAGAGTGAACAAGGGAAAAGAAAGTTGATTGGAAACGTGGAGAAGCAACGGGGCCTCCAACCACACAGGCCTTGGAGCTCGGTAAGGACTGGATTTTGCCGCAGGGCCGTGGGATATCATTGGGGGAGTGACTCACACCCTCGTTCCACGTTTGCACTGCGGCCGGAGTGACCCTGCCCTGTGCCCGACTCGGAGGCCTCACCCACCCTGGAGCCTGGGAGTGGGGCCGCTTGCTGGGCCTGAAGCCTGCGGGCCCTGAGAGGCCCACCAGCTCCTCGGGCCTTCATCGGAGCCGGCAGGAAACGCGGGGAGC